TGGCAAAATGGCAAAAGACATCCACGTTTTAATATGATTATGGTATGATATAACTCTTCTTTCTCTCCTCTTTTTAGATATTTTATCATATCTTCTTCTTGTTTTCTCTTGTTGGTTTGTTATTGTGGTTGTATGTTGCTGTTGTTGTTGTTGTTTTTTTCTTTTTTTTTTCGTAATAACCTTTTACTGTTTGCTTTAATAGGATATATGGCATTTACAAATTTGTACCATATACATTTTACTCATTTCGTTATTCTCTTTGTTCAAATCCTTTTTTATAACCTGGTTTGCAATTTTTGTTTGTTAAAATCGTATCTTGTAACTTTCTATATTTATTTATATTTTTATATTGGTATCATATACATTTTACTCATTTCGTTATTCTTTATAATCAAATCCTTATTTATAACCTGGTTTGCAAGTTCTTGTTTGTTAAAATCGAATTTTGTAATTTTTTATGTTTATTTATATATTGATATGTTGATGAAATGTATATACTTGTTTGTGTCATGAAGGGCCTCAACGAAAACCAGTAATTGTTTGCTGATTGGGCTACCCTTCTTTTTAAAGATGTGTTATAAATAAATAAAAAAATCAACCAGCACATTCAGGAAGGCCATTGACAGAGCCTTCTAAGTACCCCGCGCCCTCTCTCTCAACCGATGCGTTTATGCCCAGTAGGGCCCTGCATTGTATACATCCAGATCCAGAATGTAAATAATCTATGTCCTCTTTCTTATTTCCCTTCTCAGTCTATCCCTCTATCTTCTTCTCCCTCTAAGGCTTAGATTAGTATATGATAAAAAAATGCCACACCTGTAGATAATCATATACTTCATAATATCTTGTCCAAGCTTTACTCACTTCTTTTGCGGAAATTGCTAGCGACTCTGAAATACCGTTGCCATTTTCCAAAACCCGGAAATCTGGCCTCTAAATAAGCGTCAAAAATGATATGTCAGATCACATCCATAGAAAAATGTGCTCTGCAACGTATACACTTACATGACCCTAGAAGTAGGTCAGGGTATCACGGTATCTTACAAAAATCTTGGAAAAAGCAAATAACTTTCATGTTTCACTGAAATAATGACAATCTATTTACTCATTCATTCCAATGCTCTGGCAGATGCAGGTGGGGGTACCCCCTCCAAGAACAAAAACAATAAAAAAAGACATGGAAAAAAGGGATGAAGATAATTTTGTTTTAAATTCTTTTTTTGGGGGGGGGGTGGGGGTGCTGTTTGAAGAGAAACATGTTTTTATGATTGGTATCAGTAGCAAGACTTTGTTTTAAAGGGGGGTATGTATTGTCACAACTAACCGTTGCCTCTTATATGGTCCTTTTCTCCTAGCTAGCTACACTTCTTTTAAAGACCGTCACCACTACTGGGCAAGAAGGGATTAGACCACACAGCGAGCCAGCAAGGTCACTGTGACAGGTGGCTATCTCATTAACTCAGCTCTCATTTAACATAAGAAAAAGAGGATCATGGGGGACCAACAGGCACCGATTGGGGAAGTTTTCTATATAGAGGGAGCAAGTAGCTACAAGTATGGCAGTGTGCCTTTAAGTAATATGTTAATTAGATTTGACTTTGCAGTTTTCCTGTTCAAGCTGACTTAATTTTGATCTGTTTTTCTTGTATATTGTATGTTGGAAGCTTGGCGAATAAAAATTAATCAATCAATCAATCATATAGAGAAGTTCATAACATATATATTGTCATTTATCAGGAGAAGTCATACGTTCATTTCTTTAATAACAATTTTAATTCAAAATCAATCTGGTGGACATTTACATGTATGCTCATAACTAAAGTTCCAGCTTCAAATTCATTATTGATATGATAAGGAATGTTATGAAGAGAAAAATGAAACATAAAAAATTCATTAACTCTACTTGAATATGAAGTTGTTATTTTTTGTTTCTTTCTTTTATCTTTTCAGGAGTCAACACCCCTCGTTTCCGGTGTTGTAAAAACGGGAAACTGGAACTGGTAGTGTGGAGAGGGAGAAGCGCTCGGACCAGCCACTCAGCAGGAACAAGTTCAGCCTCAAGGACTACGTTGAGCTGTTTTACGAGGGAAAGAAAGCATTGCAGCTGAAGCCCTAGCAACACCAGTCATTTCAAAGGCAGCTCCAAGTGCGAGTGCTGTGTGCAGTCCTCGTCCAGTTGTAAAGCCTACTAGCACAGTATCCAAGCCGCCTTCAGGTGATTTTAATCATATTTTTATTTATTTTGTCATGCCTTTATGCATTTATATATTAATTCCTCTGAGAGATTTCCATAGACTGACCAAGAGTTTCAAATTGTGTTACCCTCCATTTCTTCATCACAATTGTATAAATATTTCTCTTGATTTGTATAGTGTTGAAATATAACCACTTTTGTTCGACCTCTAATGAAAGACGTCCAGTAGCTAGCATCTATTTTATTTCTTTATTTATACATATATATTTTGTATTGCTATTTTGTATTCCAAATAATGCATTCACTTATTCATCCTTTGTTTTCTATTTCTGTGTAGTGTCTTTTGAAGAGATAACAGATACTGAGATGCTGAATTTTCAGTTGCAAATATTTAATTTTGAATTCATTTCATTTCAACAGGTGTTTCCTGGGTCAAACGCTGGACCCGCACAGTGGCCAGACTGCAGCCAATTCCCAGGAGCTGCTCGTACCAAGGACTCAGAGACCAATAGGTGGACTCTCATCCTCAAAGCCTTCAAGAACATCAGAAGCAAGGTCCTGAATAACGCAACCATCATGAGAGGCACCCAGATTCAACTGGTCGAGCTTAATCAGAGAACTCTTTCGTAGTGGTAAGTTTAATTTCTATTTGATAAATATATCCCTTTATCCCTTACACTTTATTCTCTCATTACAACCATTCAAGGCTCAAATTAAATTTTTGTTGACGGGGGCTCTTCCAAAAAAAATAAGAGAGCCCCCGTGGCCTTCTCATGGGGCTCTTTTTTAATACAAATTTCGATTACATTTTTACCCATGATACTCCTAAATTCTTTGCTATTCCATCATTATCATTTATTTAAGTCAGCATTTTCCCTCTTACAAATTTACAAGTAACATGGGGGTTACTAGCTGACTTTCATCCCGTAATGACATTATCTCCATTTCTTCCTGTTCTGCACATTATTTCCTCCTCATCATTCAGAGCAACCTTTAGTTTCTTTTTGTAGTCTTTACCATGTCCTTCAACAGTCAGTACCATGGAGTGTGGTTTTCCGAAGAGATTGCAACGGAATCGAAGGAACAGTGGTTAAGGAGAAAAGAAGAGAAGAGACGAGCTAAGAAAGAAGAAAAAGCAGCAGCAGCTAAGAAGAAATATACAACCATGACATCATTCAAGTGCAGTAGTGAAATTAGCAATGGCAAGAAAGCAATGCCAGAAATGTATGTAAATTTGAGATAATTAAATCACGTGATCAGACCAGAACTAGGAAACAAGTGCAAAAAGATGAACGGCTGTTTTTTGTGATATATGACATATATGAGATAGACAGGGACCTTCCTGTCTGCACCTGAGAGATATAGGAAAGATAATCCTCCTGAGAAGCCCTCGTAAGGTACATGTACCTTGAGCGGGTTTGTCAGGATGGTGCCGTTTGATGTGACATGGTAGGAACCCACCATGACGACAAGTATCACAAAGAAAGTGAGGAGAGCAATGTGAAAGAAGAGGATGCCAGAACCATGATGATGGAATGGAACGAGATCAATCAAATTTGTTTTGTGCATTGAGGCAGATATCAGGTAATGATACATGGACTGGCGACCGTTTCACCCACCCCAAGCATTCACCATTCGATAATTTAAGAATAGTGGGAACAAAAAAGACGCCTTTAGTCCCTTTGAAATAAAGCATGTGAAAAATCGAATAAAGAGAGAGAGAAAGATATATACTATATATATATATATATTTATATAATGAGAGAGAGACAGAGGGAGATGAGGGAATTGAAAGAGAGGAAGAAAGAAAGACAATATAGAGGAAGAAAGAAAGATAATATTGAAAGAGAGAGAGGGGAAGAAAGAAAGAAAGATAATATTGATGGCATTCACGTATATGTATCACCTTTGTATATTTATTATAGACAATTATCCCCTCCCATCCCCCCCCCCCCCCCGAGGACAATTGCCCCCGAATTTTGTTCTTGCTTTTTTTTCAAAACACCTTATTATCAGGGTGGGCTTTCCCTTCAATGAACAGGAGGGGGGATTTTTCAGGTGGTAATTTTTTTTTTTTTGGGGGGGGGTGATCTCCATTATCCACGCTCATCCTCACCATTGTCCTATTCATATATATCTCGTTATCTCTCCATATCACTCTGTCCTTCTCTATCTCTCTGTCTTTCTCTCTATAAGAGTCTATATCTCTCCCTTTGTCTCTCTCTCTCTCTCTCTATCCATCCCTTTCCCTTCATCTCTTTTTTCTCTCCCTCTGTCTCTGTCTCTTTTTTCACTTTGTTCTGTCTTTTCCTCTCTTCTTACTTGGTCTGTATTCCCCAACAATAACAAATTCTCTCTGTGGCCATGCCTTGAACCATAATGCATGTCCGTACAGAGGAATTTTCCTGTTGGGGACCGGAGGAAAATCCAATGAGTTATTAATAATTTATTGCATTTTCTCTGTGTTTTTTTTTATTTGTGGGGGCTGCCCCCTCCGCTAGCCCCCGCTGCGTACAGTCATGATTCAGTGGTAAAGCAATGGCCTCGTAACTGTGAGGCCCCAGGATCAAAACCGTGTTGATATGCTATATGAGTGCCCTTTTGTAAGGCATTAATCCTCATTACTGTCAGTTATGACTTAAGGCCGAAGGTCCCCTAGTTGATAAGCATAGTAGCACACACATGCTTTAGCAGCCACGTAAAACAAACACTCGCGAGGTATTATTCAATAAAATCTGAAAATGTATACTATTATCCAGATATATTAGGAATAAATCATTGTCAAAATCATTCCATAAACTTGGGTAAAAAACATTCCATCTTTATGACCAACAGTGTATATACATTTTTTCTTTACGCATTTTGTTTGAAAACCATGGTTTATCTCTCCGTTTACATTTATAAGAAGTACCTTTAGCAGGAAAACTTACCGGTATATCATATACCTTGATGTCTTAATAATTAAGTTATAATAGTTATGGTCAAAATTTTCATTATAAAATGACCATTATATTGATTGAATCAAGTGGGGAAAATTCAGATATTTTCTTAATTTCTATCTCTTTTGACACTCCTCATTTCTGCATTTGAAATGAGCACATCATTCCCGATCCCGATAGTAACACGGGTGCGGTATTTTATGGCAGGAAACATGCAAGTACAGCATTAGCATTTCTAACAATTCTGTTACAATGTGAAACTTGCCAACATGCAATAGATATATATATATATATATATATACATATTAAAATCAGCCATTATATATAATAATTTTCTTTCTATTTACAACCTCAAGTACATCAGTAAGAGATGAAAAAATCCTGTTTTTTAAATAGGAGGTCTATTAATGACACCATGTAATATAGAAGAGTTACAACTTTGTATTTTAATAAACACTTTCAATAAAAGGTGTGTTCAAATCTTAATTGGGACAACGTTTGTGACTGATGTCAGTCTAAATAACAATACCAACACGCAACACCTCCATGATTTTTCATTCTATATTATTAACAGAGTCATTATCGTTAATCCATGCTTCAGATAAACCAGTAACAGAAGGTTGCATTGACAAAGAACTAAAAAATAAATTATCCAAGGTACGACATAATTAGCTCCAACAGTTAACATGAAAACATAAACACGTTTTAGCAAAGCTACCTCGTGAGTATGTAATTGACGCAAAATTGTTATGTACATCTGATGAGTAGTATGCTTCTATATAGGACCATGATCACTTTCAGAATCAGCTGAAGTTGAAAATTCTTTGCAAGGTACACAAATTTATTCCATTAACGCATTTCAGGAAACGATTTAGGAAACACATATACATGCGACAAGAAAACATAAAGTAGAAATGCAATAACATTACAATGAAATATTTAATACATTGAAAACTATTTACATATATGTACATTTAAATATATCAAAGGTAAATGAGAGAAAGCAACCTGGGTACATTGAGCATATATTTAAACACTAAATGACATAATGCTACGTTTACACTATGTTCCCGCCGGCCACGGCACCCCCGTTTGCCCAATACGTAATGCGCCTCGTGATTTTGGCCATTTTTTCATTGTATTCAAGTTTTGTTAGGTCTTGCCAAGTTTTCCCACGGTCTATCATGATATCCGTAACGGGCCGTAGGGGGAAGGGGATGCCGAGTCGCGGAGGCTCCAAGGCGCACTACGGTTCAGCCAGCGGTCTACCACGGATGCCAGAACGTTCCCCCTCAGAGAGGGTAATTGTTGTAATAAACAACGCTTAACTGTATGTATACTATGCATCTTAAAATGATTTCCAAGTAAGTTCAACTTTAAAATAAACGATGACAATTCTATAATGTAAATGCATCTGTTTTCCACGTACCCGGTATCACATTTTCAATATTTCATGATTATACTGTGCAAATTTTTGTTTTTGTTTTTCCTTCATATTTTGAAATGTTGGAGAGGAAAAAACATCCATTACAAAGAAAACTAACAATTACCGATATAATTTACCATTAATAGGTTCAGTGAAGACAAAAAGGTGAAATATTAAAGTCATTTTCTTTCCCACGTAATGGTACAGCTTAATAAGGTGGGCCTAATGCAAGTACATTTCTTTGGGGATAATTTTTGGGCTCAAACATATCATTTATACCTCACCAGTAACACTTCGCACTATCAAGCTATTATTTTTCCCTTACAAATAATATTTTGGGATTGTTATGTTAAGGATGTAAGTTTGTTGAATTAAAACGTTCCATCTATGGTATCACTAAATACAAGAAATAGGGTCTATAGGGATAGAGTTATAATAACAAAATAAAGACTGAGACCTCTGGCTTCTTTCTTCTGGTTTTTTAATATCCATTTATGCGGGGGAATGCTCTCTAAAGAGTTCACTCTGGAACACTTTTGGATAAATCATATGTTCCCTGTTGATATGTTGGGAGTTGGGAGTATAGCTATATATACATTCATTGTCAATGAAATTGTTGATTCGCTCAATTATGAAATATATACATGTCGGTCATCTTTTTTTCCGAACGTTAGATTCACAACTTTGGTTGTATTCATGGAGAAAAAAAATTCTTCCCAATAGCAAATAATAAAAGAAAATTGTACAGCGTGATTGATAGCCCGACCTATATTGCGTCATAATGGAACTTGATACGCAAGTACCTCTGAACATGGTGAGAATATTTGTTCACTGTATCTCATTTCCCATAATACAAATGACACAACAATTATAATTACACAACCTATCATGTGAGATACAAATACACACAACCTAATTGAGAAGACGTAGGGGGCATTGTCTTACAGGGTAAGTACTTCCACTCAAAGCATTATACGAATGTCTCGGTGCTATTCTCTTGCGGTATCTTTCTCACGCTGATAAGGACAGCATCAGTTGCCGCTGATGAGGACGTATTTGTAGAGCTCTGCATGCTAGTCGATGTGGTAACATTTTGTCTCTTGACCCTTTCCAAACAGGTCAGTCCCCACTGCTTACGAACCATTGGTTTACGAACACAGTAGAGCAGAAAAATGAAGAGTCCTTGAAATGAGTTCAGGATAATGAAGATAGGCTCAACCATCTAGGATAACACAGAATAAAGAAAATCTGGTGGCAGTTGAAACATAGTATCATTACGTCTTTATACTCAATTTTAGGTCTTTGTAATGGCTCCCTGTTCAAACACACAACCTCGAGTACACATATGATATAAATGTATATTAGCTTTAATGATATTTCTGACCTTTCTTGTCACTGTATCCTATAAACTTTTACAATAGATAAATGCAATTACGTAATGCTTCTTTCATAGATATTGTTGTTTCTACTGTACCTGACTGAATTCTCGGATCATCAGAAAGTATCCAGTGATCCATGTAAGGCCAAGCAGAAGGAGGATACAGATTGCATTCTGAACCCGTTTGATGGTCTCTCTACGTTCGACCTTGGCCTCTCTCTGGACCCGACCAGCCATATTAGAAGACTTCATCAGTCGACGGATGATGAGGGCAAACATGACGACATTGAACAGGAGAATGATTGTCATGGGAATAAGGAGACCACCGATTTGAGCCCACAATTCGAGAAAACATCTAGAGATCCGGTGGAATTCAAAATGTATAAATAGTGGAAGGAAAGAAAAAAAGATATGTAAAAATAAAAATGAAAATCATTTAGTACTTCTTCAACGAAACATAAACGTGCCCCCAGCGTCAAATCATCATAATAAAAAAATATTTGGTACACCCCAATGTTATTACTCTTAAGCATTTAGCATCATCTGTGCCTGGCAGGTAAACAGCGAACTGAATCACTGTAACTCGAGGGTCTCATTTTATTGGGAGAGTGAAGGTGGACCACGACACCGGGGTTTCTCCTATTCAAGCACGAATAGTGCAGTGGGTTCTTAACAGGCAAAGGTGGTGACTCTCCTCTTCGCGAGGCCTCCATTTAACGTCCAACACGATGGGCGGAGTGTTCTCCACTGTAACTTCCCATAGGAAAGTGTAAAGTATGCCGCAGACCTGCCGCAGACCTGCCGCAGACCTGCCGCAGACTTTTAGTCTGCGGCAAAGAGTATGCCGAAGTATGCGGCAGAAAGAAATTTTGCTGCAGACTTGCCGCATACCAGTATGCCACAGGAACAGTCTGCGGCAGATCTGCGGCAGGATGAAATTTCGCTCAAGACTTGCCGCATACTAGTATGCCACAGGAACAGTCTGCTGCAGATCTGCGGCAGGATGAAATTTTGCTGCAGACTTGCCGCATACTAGTATGCCACAGGAACAGTCTGCGGCAGATCTGCGGCAGGATGAAACTTTGCTCCAGACTTGCTGCATACTAGTATGCCACAGGAACAGTCTGCGGCAGATCTGCGGCAGGGCGAAACTTTTCTCCAGACTTGCCGCATACCAGTACGCCACAGGAACAGTCTGCGGCAGGTCTGCCACAGAAAGGTGGGAAATTATACAGTCTGAAGCAAGGCTATAGTCGGCTATTTTGTAGGACATGCAGTACCATATGAGGTTACAGGCTGAGCCCATGATATCTTGTAAATTCCTGTGTTAATTAGCACTGTTAATTGTCTTTTTAGCTTCTGTCAAACCAAACAATTTGCTTCAAGTTCAACTAGTACCATAAGAGGAATTTATTACATATATCGAGGAGACTGAGGAATTAACGGACTGTTTCAAACTTTTTTGTTGTGCCATATGTGATCTTATCTTCAGCCCCACTAACTCACTATTTTGTTGTAACTACCCAAGACGAAAATCCAATTGAAACCAATTGAACACCAATTGAATTTTCAATTGGTTTCAATTGGTCTCAATAGGTTTTAACAGGTTTCAATGGGACTTTAATAGGACTTCAGATGGTTTCAATTGGTCCAGATTGTCCCTATGACCAATTGGGCCCATTGGCCCCATTGGCCAATGCCCCATAAGACTTTAATGGGACCCCAATTGGCAAAATACATTTATCATGATTTGTTAAGCAAATTAAGACAATGCACATCATTTTTGTGATTTCTATTTTCCTTTTGCCATTATTAACCAATAGATTATTTTGTCTGATCATGTTACAATTACATTCACGTTTTAGCAATAGATATATTGATTATATGATTACTAACCAAGAAACAATATACATATTTAGTATATATATATGTGTACGAGCCTGTGTCACTTTCAATGTTACTCTTGAATACACTTCAAATGATCTATGTGATGAAGTTAATACAATTGAGAATAGAATATACCTAATTGGTAATATCGATATATATTGGTATTACCTAATTGGTAATATCGATATTGCCAATATCGATTATGAAGTATCAATCAGTTTATCACTGGTTCTTCTACATGCATACTTTATTGCCACGTACTGGATATGAAAGAGTATGCGGCAGGTCTGCTGCAGGTCTATATGAGATATGAATATTCATGATGAAGAGTCTGCGGCAGGTCTGCAGCAGACTCTTCATCATACTGAAAGAGTATGCGGCAAGTCTGCGGCAAGTCTGCAGCAAGTCTGCGGCAGACCTGCCGCAGACTCTTCATCATACTGAAAGAGTATGCGGCAAGTCTGCGGCAAGTCTTCAGCAAGTCTGCGGCAGACCTGCTGCAGACTCTTCATCATACTGGAAGAGTATGCGGCAAGTCTGCGGCAGACCTGCCGCAGACTCTTCATCATACTGAAAGAGTATGCGGCAAGTCTGCGGCAAGTCTTCAGCAAGTCTGCGGCAGACCTGCTGCAGACTCTTCATCATACTGGAAGAGTATGCGGCAAGTCTGCAGCAAGTCTGCGGCAGACCTGCCGCAGACTCTTCATCATACTGAAAGAGTATGCGGCAAGTCTGTAGCAAGTCTGCGGCAGACCTGCCGCAGACTCTTCATCATACTGAAAGAGTATGCGGCAAGTCTGCGGCAAAACTAATTTGCATGTGTAAAAGATGACTGTCTGCGGCAGGTCTGCTGCAGATCTGCGGCAAGTCTGCCACAGGAGTATGCGGCAGGCTCATTTCTTTCATATGGGTTAGCGTGCGTCTATAGGGGAGGGGCTCATTAACTTACAACCCAGGCTTCAGTCATCCGCCTCTGGGTTGGACTCGAACCCATGATCTTTGGTACTACAAGCAGATGCTTTACAGACTGAGCCAACTAACCTCCTCATATGTACACAGGTATTTGAAATACTGCGGCATGTATTTTTTGTTTCAAAAGTAAAATGCATGTAATTCCCTATTTTAATTAAGCAAGCCATACAAGACTGAGACAGTTATGTGAAGCTAAATTTCTATAAAAGGAGATGGTATGCTGTATGAAAAATAAATTTGCTTCAGTAACTTGGTTTATAAATAAAAACAAGAAATTGTCATAGCACTATGCTCCGTCCTGTTGTCTTGATATGGCTCTATTTTTGTTTACCCTTACCATATCACGTAAAGGCCCAACTGATCGTGTTACAATACCATAAAACATTGTGACAAATATTTTGGTTCGAAGATTATGATATTAACGGGTTCGTAGACTACTCACAGATTGTGTGCGTATTTTCCCTGGGCAATGGCTCCAGTTACAATGACAATCATTGCAGGAATACCTTGAATTTAAAAAAAGGGGAAGACATTTATGATTAATTATATTTTCACCTGTCAATTGACAGTTTTAAAGCCTTTTCCTAGAAGGAGAATAAGAGAAAATGCCTGTTCATTGCCATTGTGTGATTTAAGCAAAGTAAAAGGAAAAGTTAAAGATGGCGATTGATAGTACAATCGCTAAAATAACATAGAGCAATGGGGGTCATGGGGCATGCAGCCATTAGTATATATCTTCTTGTGTGTTTTTCTTCTTCTAGAATACAATGATCAATTTTTGGATCACTCAAGAGATGCAAAGATCTTATTTAAATTGAAAACCGTTTTGAACAAGTAGACAACAAAAATGACCTGTCAAATAGGCAACCATGCAGCTAAAACATTGATGTTGTAGAACCATGTTAATGGAAAATAAAGGATCAATAGCATCAGCAAATTGTATCCTTCCGTTCTCAGATAATCGTTTGTCTGCCCCGAAATGTCGCATACTTTGAAAAAGATGGTGATGAAAGCCACTCAAGAAGAAAAAATCGTGCACTTTGCACTGTTTGATTACAATTTATGTAAATGCTGGCAATTTAATCTTAAGGTTGTTAATTATTATTTTACATGTATTAATTGTATAAATCATTTCCCCAAAAAATCTATTACAAAAAAAAAAAAAAATTAATGATCAATTACGATACTACTGGTAACAATTTTGAAATGTTTGTACCCCAAGCAACGGCACCAGCTTTGACCATGAACCGTGGAATGTAGGTATCAAATATCTTGACGATGATGAGATAAGTATTATATCCCTCCACACCCATCCACGTGATCGAAGATAGAACGAAGTAGTGAACGAGCGCTGTAATGAACCCGCATGGAGCTGCCTTGACTTGGTATTGACGTTTGGTGCTGTCCAGTGACATCATGACAATGAACGCTAAGTAGAGACAGAGTAACGTCAGGCACAGGCAAATGAAGATCTGGTTGGTCTGTTTTTCCCTCAAAGCTCTTTCAGTTAATAAAAATATAACATAAATTGTATTTGATTAATACATTGATATATGTAGTGCATATATTATTATTTAGCAATAAAAATGTTGGTGCTAGGGTTTAGGGAATATGGCGGTAGCAAAATATGCAGAATGTCAAATTTGAATATTGCCCATGCATCAAACAAACAATCCCGGGTCCTGCACTAGCTTGCTTTAACCTTAGATCATACGATAGTAAATAAATGGACTGTGGACTAGGCTGTTATTCATACGAGCAGAAAGACTGCCATCATTTGGCAAAATATTGTTTTTTCAATATCAAATGGATATTCAAATGAAATTTCTGTCGCAAGTTTTCATTTCATGTCATTCAGTTATTGATTCAACCATTTTTCTAAAAACAAACATTCAAAATTACAATCGATGTTTGAAAGATATACAAAACATATTTGACATACAAAGTCCTGAAAGAAGCTTAAGCTTGTAATATTGGGTTCCCTCTACAAATAAACAAGAATAACTGTATAAAAAAATCCAAATAATAATGTGTACATATAAGCTAAGACAAACTAAACCAAAGCACCAGTCAGCATTCATATACCGGCTATATACAGCACAAGTAGACTAAACCAAACTAAACCCATTTGCTTGGCCGAAGCAGTGCCCCAGTACAGCCATTGTGCACTGACCAGCGCTTTGCAATACAAAATCATAACAAGCATATATACGCACATACACCCACCCACACGCACATAAACTCGGGAGAGATAGAGAGAGAGAAAGAAAGAAGGGGGCAGAAGAGTAGGAAAAGAATAAAGAGAGATGAAGAATTGTAGAAACATATTGCACAAGTTAATTATGAACATTATTTTAGTGAGAGCAGGAAAGCATCATGACAAATCATTTTAAAATGGGATATAGTGGTACTGCTTTTACTGCTCTCAAGATCACTCCAATGTTGGATGGCATTAAAATGAAAGGATGTGTATCTGTGTTTAAAAAAATCTGAAGGAAATCCATAATATATGTGCTCTGCTATAATCTAATATACATTTATGAGATGGATAATTTGTCCTTGTTTTCACGAAGTGACGGTAGTGAGGAAAATCGTAACGCAAAGTGAATGCAATTTTTTTCCACTACCGTCACTTCGTGAAAACAGCGACGATTATTATAAAAATGGAGATAAACAGGACTCTTACCTGTTTGATATATATGTTGCGAGGGTGACAAGTAGGCTTACTATTGAAATACCACATCCTATGTACGTTAGAACTGTGTATGCTTGCTCAGAAGACCCATCCTCTCTGGAAATATCCTACAAATATAATAAATTATCACAATTTTATTATCCAGTTCATTCTACACTAAACCAAAACATAGGCCTGTAGAGCTATATGAAAAGCTTACTTGTATGTGTGAGCTCTTACCCAGATAACAATACGCCGTTGGGCTAACGTCGCCATTTTTCACTGATAAACATTGGGCCATGGCAAATGGTGGGAAAGGGGTTTGCATAACGTTGGCCCAACGTCAATTTGCTTTCTGGGAATTTTAATAGTTGGGATTGCTCTCATTAATTTGTCGCCGACACATTATGTACACCTAGTCTTTATGTTCTTCGGATTGCCCGGAGTTAGTCACCATGTGGGCAGCCCCCCGCCCCCCCCCCCCCCCCCTCCAAACAAAACAAAATAAAAAAGCACTCCTAAAATGAAAAACAAGAAACGGAAAAGAACAAGGAAAAAGAGAAAAATGCAAGGAACAAGACAGAAAATCGCTCTAACTATCCACAAATCGGTCGCTACGTTCCCTCATACGATACACTTTTAATTAGCTTTACAATTAAAGAAGAACTGTAGAAAATTACAAAGACTGCGTTTACATTGTGTGTTTACAAAGGCACTGGTATAGATAGACAATAGCAGTCTTTCCCTCAAAAATTCTGGAATCTTTGGTTAAGTGGGGAAGTCTATTTCTGGAAATAAATATTCCTCAGAGCTTCCAACAATAGCAATCAAAGTATTTCCAATGGGGGAGAGATAACATGTAAACTATATAGCTACAACTAAAATATTAACAAAAAACATATTCGGGTGGAGATCCTGCAATACCATGTGATTCCCAGAGGACGTGCTGTGAAAATAAAAGACATATACTACTATAAGAGAAAAAAAGATCTTACCATAAGGACGGCAAAGTTGGTGAGATGGTTACATCCACAAACGATCTTCTCCTTCTCATCATATGGAGAAGGATCCCAGTTGTTATCATTGGATGAGCTAATACCAGATGATGAAAGAAGATGACACCCTTCTTGAGACCAGTCACTAAAGCCAATATCCCAGTATGAACACGACGGGTTCGTCAGACCAGACTTGTGAGAAAATTCAAATTTAGAACTAACTGCATATGACTACCGATATAGTTGTTTTCATAGGTGTTCAACTATTGTTAATAACATAATGCATGTCCTTGTCTCGATACAGATACAAGAGAATCGTATGCTGTGATATTATGATACAGAAATAATTATAAAACATTGGAAATAATACTCGAAGATGACAGTATGCACATTTATTTATATCTATGGAGTAACTTTGAAAGTGAATTTTAAATTCCATTTAGTGCCTACCTCTATCGGGGTAAAAGTGAAATTGATGGGTTCTGTCAGATCTTCTATTTTCTCGTCCCCGATGCTCAGAGATATTACAGGTGTGTTAGCAGATCGGTTTGTTCCTATACTTGTGTTCTTCAATGATTTAGAAATGAAAAGGGCTGGTGTGGAAAAGACACTGAAAATCACGCGAACAAAGCCGTTAGTATTAGAACTTCCTCCAGATATCAACGGTAAAGCGGAAGAAATCGTAGATGGTATGTTGACAACAGCGATGGTATCTGGTTTTGTAGCTTCAGCTTGATTTTCATTTGAAGTTTGGATATTCGTGTCAAATTTTTTCAGATCAGAATTGCTGTCTCCTGCTAACGAAAGGACTAGACCATTTGAGATGTCATCAGTATTTACGCTTTGGACCTGAAAAAGTCAGAAAAACAGAATTGGTAAAAACAGTCCGATAAGAACGTTACTTTGGCCATGAAGAGGCATAGTATTCTAATCAGGAAATGAAGTTCATCTTTGCATGTGCCATTGACAGATATCTTATTTTGCGGGGCGTAGTAGATGTCAACTATATTCAGTTACTTGCATGAATTTTGGTCTTTGCTGCCCTGCCAAGGAGAAAAATTCGGATATAATATCAGCGTTTTATTCGACATAAAAAATCAAAAGTTCTACGTACCTGCACGGCAATATTCGATTGTTGAAAGCTAAAATTTTCACCGTCCTCTACAGGTACACTTTTGATCTGCTGCTCAAATACTTTAACGACATCACTAACAGAGGCTGATGCTGATTCAAGTGTTTCTGTTTTAACCTGAGCGATGTTACTCACTATGGCAACGATGGATGCAGTTACCTGTTATTCAAAATGAAATAAATACATTCATTTACATATTCTGAAAGCAGTAGCATTATCAGTATGAAATAAAAAGTTTGAACACAGGTGTATTTGGGGATAAAATTTGGACAGTCGGATTTGACAAGATCTTAAACAAAATGACAAATTCAAATATTCACAACGAATGGCCTACAAATGGTCTTTATTTCAGTAATATAGCAGGACTAGACAGTGACAAGATAAACAACTGAGTCAAAATAACTTTATATGTAAGCATTTACTGGACACTTTTCATAACAAATTGAATAAAAACAAAGAAACACATTACATACAACATTTTTGGGAAAGTGTTGTATTCGCAAAACTAAATAAAGAAACATACCTTTTCACTGTTTGTTTGAGCACTTATATTTGAAATTATATTTGCAATCGAAAAAATGTCATCAGAGGAGATATCACCGATGTGACTTGTCACCAAACTGACGTCTTCACTGAGCTCAGCAACATTCTCATCTGAAACGATAACCTTGGAAAAAACGAATTTAAACATCAGTCTCGATTATGTTTGCTTGTATTGTTCTATAGAGTCATACAAACAAAATTAATAGTATAGATGAACTTTGTTTTTACATTCGTCTCCTTTCTACTGGACCAGGGGTGTCCACTTTTATGGCAGGATCCCCAACCTAGGTACATTCTCCCTCCAGTCAGAGAAGGTATCAGCCCACCTGCTTTTCATTTCTGAGCATATAACAACTTATCACAGAATGTTCATTTCTATTTCATTCATTGGGATGTTATAAATGTTATCATTTCTAGGATGTGTCCAATAACTAATTAACTTCCGTGCTACATTGAAATAGGCTTGATTGGCTGGAAATTGATGGATTTCAGTCCCGATTAACCCATAATGAGTGATCCCATGACTGTGTTGTGAAAATTCAAGGAAACAATCTTGAAAGGGCTGAAATAGATATCTCAAAATTGATATTACCTTTGAAAGCTGACTAAGTAAATCTCCAACATTTCTGAATGGTCCACAGTTATCCATGGGAAGCCACGTACTCTGTGAAATCAGATCACCGACGCATATGGCAAGCCCGATTGGTTGGTCAGCTGTCAAACAAATTCACAACAATTTACTATCCCCATACCATTATTAAAATTCATGAAATAAAGATTTGATTATTTTTTATGGGAAGTGTCTTGATAAAATCATATGAATAATGATGACAAAATTATATAATTAGAAAATACAAATATGTAGCTGTAAAAACTTAAATCCTCTAATGTTCATATATAACTAATGCAAAATTCCTTTGTCTAGAGGAGCCCATTTGTTAATTTAAATCAATTAGAATCATATTGACTAATTACATTTTAATTTCCAGAAGGGAGAGATAGAGGCAGGTATAGAACGTGCATTAGAAGCATCCTAATTTACCGTTCGTTGTGTCAAATGGACATACTTCAGTTGAGTTCAACCATGTTCCGTTCTCACCCTCTAGGAAACTGATTAGTCCAAAACGTGATGACATCCATGTCGTATTCTTACAGATCGCTGGGTTCCATGAATATAAGAAAAACAAAAGATACAAGAAGCAAGCAGTTTTGAGTTCTGGCGATAGCCTCGCATTTCTATTAAAAATGGATTTATGTCATTTGAAAATACAGAAACTGTAAATACGAACAATATAATAAAGACTCTAAACGTGCTGCAAACTACATTCACTCACAATCACATTTTTTAAAGGCATAATATTTCTTTTGCTCATTTCCAAGCTACTGTAAATTTTCTATGACAATCGTAAATGCAGACAATAATTATGTGTAATCTTTAACAGTCGTAAAATGATTCTGTGTCAATCTATTTTTTGTTATTAGTCTGTTAATAGAAGTCAAGATTGACTCCCTATAAACAAAGATGATCCATGACTATAATCCTTACCTGTGTTCTCGATCTCTACACTTCTTACATCCAGAAAACCATTCGAGTTTTCAGCCAGTCTATCAAGAGCTTGACTAACAAGATCTAGTTCATCAAATGCAGTCAGATTGGAATTCTTGATGTAGACATTCAGGTCAGCAACCACACCTCCTTGTCTGGTGAGGGCGCTGCATACCACCGATGGTGACAGGTCCTTGATAGAGGTATTATTCTTAAGACCTTCAAGTACCTTTTAAAAAAAACAGAAGGTATCATGATGTAATACGATTTTGTTATAATATACATTTATTTCTATTTCTTTTTACTACATTATATACACATAAGAGGTACATAGAATTTGTATATGTGACACTCCATTCTCCTACATACTCCTATAACAGCGTGATGTGCCCCCCTCCTCCTCCTGGTTGCTATCGACTCAAGCATTCATGCTTATAATAGTTGGCCTCTGCATTTATCTTGATTCTATGATTTAATTACCTCCATACTTTCAAGTTTTCAATTACATCTACAGTATGTATTTTTCGGTATTTCAGTTTTCACATTTTATGTAAATCAATTATATCTTATATTATTAGTATTGTTTGAATATTTTGTATTTGATTTTCAATAAAAGTTTGTGGTAGGCTAATACAGGCAAAATAATTTCAAAAGTTGATTTAAATATCAAACGCCCTTTTATCTTTCAAACAATTAAAATCGCAGTCATCGGGTATACACTGTACACTGAAGAGATTGAGAGCAACTACCTATTCGTTTTTAAGGCACATTTTAATATAATCCAATGTATTGTTGTCATATCTGTGTGCATGTTTGGTCCATGTCTTCAATTTTTCCTATATTTCTTAGTACTTACATAATTGCTGATGTTGAGCGATATCTCGAGATAGTGGCGGGAAGTACGTTCAGAGAGGCCATCATTCGAAGTTAGATTGAATTTCAAATTAGAAAGATGGATATTAGTGAAACCTGCATCAAGAGAAACATCAATATATTATATTTTAATACTGTAGTTTCCGGAACATCATTATTGCCTTTTACTTATAATCTTTTCGTATTCTTTTTAAATGACTCTTGCACAATTGAGTTGCCTTGAGATAATCCTTCAATATACATTGCATGAAAGCTAGGTATACCAATTGGTTCTTTGGAAAAAGATGTGTGCACAATATATATTGTGATATATGATAGGGTACGTTTTTCTTATATCTGTTATATGTATACCATCGTGCAATAATAACACTTTGCTTTCTTTTTTATTCTGGTATAACGCATACAAAAGTAAGGCTGCGCATGTCTCTTCTTGGTGCGTACCCACTGTTTGCATTGTCTCAGCTGCGCGCATCTGACGCAAAGGTAACCCAAATGTAATTGAGGGGGCCTGCCTAAATCCAAATAAAAATATAATTCATGCATTTCCTTTTTTTGATAGAACATAATTATATTCATCTCCAAAAGTCCAAATTTCTCTTGGGTCATTATATTCAGGGAAATATAAAATCAAACAAGAAATCCTGATTTTTTTTTTTTGTTGGTTCCTACATGTATATATTATTATATTGAACACTGGAACATGCACAATTCATATAAACACTAGCTGGCAGTATTAGATAGCTCTTCCAGATACAAAGGTTTGATTAGTCTAGAGCTCACCATAATAACTATGGGTGGTATTCTCTTAAGTTAAGCTGGGACTAAGTCCAGACTAAACAAGAATTTTAGTTCGCACTTCTATGGAATGCTAGGTTTCATCTTCCTCCTTCAATATTCATGACAAAGATAATCTACCAAGGACTTTGTTGAAATTTAGTTTATACTCATATTATCTTTTTCTTCCTATTTCAGTGCAAAATTAATTTTTTGGACACTTTTCATTGAAGGATTAAAATAATCTGTTCAGGGTAAATTAGTTCACAACAGGCACTCCATAAAAGTGTGAACTAACTAAGCATGCGCTAACTTAGTACGCGCTACCGGAATACCACCCTATATATTTGCGTCATAACCAGGCCCCCCAAGCTCCGCCATTTTGTCCGGATCCATTAGAAGCCAAAATAAGCCCCCTTGCATAATTCATGAGCCTTATGAATTATGCATTCTGTAGGATGATCCCCACGAAAAGTGTACTGGAATTATGTTAACTACATGGTAAAAGACAATACGCGTATCAGCGTAATTAGAGAGGTCAAATAATCTACTGTACGGAATTATGGGTAATTTATTCATCACGCTGCGCGCTCGCAACGCAAGTGATTCAGCGAATCAGCGTGGATTATTCTGATGCGATCACCGTGAGGTGAAATACGCGCTCGAACTTGTATTATCGATCACCAGTATGACAGCTGGTGTACCCAGGATGCATCGGGAAGTGGACCTTGAAAGTCCCACTCGTTGTTGTGTTGTTGTTGTTTTTTAATATGGGGGAGTGGCCTCAACTTCATTGAATAAGAAATACTGATATTGTCTCGATCTTATTCCCTTTTTAGTCTATCAATAACTGGGTCTGTTTTTGTTTTATTAAATCAAACATGCTATAAGCCATATAACAACACATTCTCTGACTATGATTATACATTTTAATTATGCTAATGTATAAAGTTTCCTTATTTTAGACAAACAAATTATGTGGCAAAGTGGATGGTTTTTCTCCACCCATAACGGTTTGTTGTCTTGACTGAACAACCTGTTGTAGTTCCTTTCTGTCTCACTTTCTGTCGTGTTATTACCACTCATTTACATTTACTCGTTATCAACTACAATCAACCATTCCATATTCACTCCATTACTGTCCACATTTCACTTGGATTCTTCACTTTTCCTTTTTGCAGCCTTTGCAGGAGCTTTGAACATGTTTAATGTAGAGACCAGAGAGATCGGAAAATATGTTAATCATTTTATTCAAATTTTCTAACTTGAAAACGGAAAGTGAAACATTGTTTTTCAACATCTTGACATCATTTTTGTTTAAAGACAATGTAATTTAACACTGGAAATTTTGAATTGGGTTGCCCCCCCCCCCTAAAAAAACCCACAAAAACAACAAACAAACAAACAAACCCAGAAGTGGTACCAGGGTTAGTTAGTTAGGAGGCCCATGTCCTTTATAATTTTATTTTTAGGAATAGTTTTCTCTCTGTTATCAATTTGACATTGGTATACCGTTAATTTCACTGGGAAAACCACCCCCTTCCCTTACACATCAATACTGCCATTTCTTCTAGCAACAGTAATTCTATAATTCAAAACGTTTTCATTTTCTAAATCCTTCTAATATATATAACAAATATAATATTTTTTACACTTTTGCAACCTATTACATGGTCCATGTAGAAACAGCACCAGGAAGAGGATAACAAGCCCCCCCCCCCCCGTTTTTTTAAGCTAGGAAGTATGAAAACATGATTCTATTAAAATTAGCAGTTTGGATACAAAAGGCAATGATGATTAGCAGTTTTCATATTTTTGGTGCATTTAGAGGGTTGTCTTTCAAACCTTCTTACATACAATACTTGAAGCAGCAATAATGTAATAATCTACAAAACTGCAAATACAGAAGTCCATAGACTGAGGTAAATGAATTTCAACATGTATAATTATGATTAAAATATCATTGATTAATTCAATCTTTGATATAGACTGATAGATCTTTATCACTCAAATTTCAAGGAAATTTCTTTCTGCCCAGCCCTCAGTTTCATCCCATAAGATGGTAGTTGACATTGTTAAAATGTTAATCTTTATTCATTGATGATTAGTTATCTTTAATTATTTGAAAGTTGACAAGATGATAAATTCATTAGCTTTTTTTAAATGTGGTATTCTACAAACATATGATACAAATAATAAATAAATAGTATGTAAATATTCAAGTTTAAACCCATCTCTACTGTCCTCTTTCATTATATGAGGGTGGCATCTTTAAGACGTAGTCCCATGTACATGTAGATGTCTTATGCATTCATCGATGAAGATGTAGGCTAGTTTTCAGAAGAAAAGGCTGAGATGATAACCCAAGTCTGTTGAATGGAAAAATAAAATAAGATACAGTGCATAAGAAAATAAACAACAACTAATAACATACACCCTGATACCTGCTCTGACAAAAAGAGGAAGGACTAATATTCACTTGGGATTCTAGTGGGCAAACCTAAACTATTTTTCCTACAAGACTAGTTACTGACCACATCTTAGATTATTTCTGACGATAGGCCTGCTGGAGCTTGGATCAGACAAGGTATGAAATAAGTAATACGTGTACAATTTACTTGTATTGTGAACTTGTGCTCATAATTGATTAATACTCGGTTAAGTATGGGACATAAAATGACCCAACAACTTGGACCAGTGAATGTGCTGGAAATAATGCTACTGAAGCATACGTAATGTAGACTTATATTTCATCTATATCAAAATTTTATTTTATATCTAAATCACAATTGTGATATTCAGTATTCTTTTACAAGTAACGGACAATGAAAAATATCTTTGTCAGATCTATAACTTTCTGCATGATATGTGTTCTACAATAGTTTATTGGGGGTACCTACATTGTATATTAGCACACTTGCTCGTATGAAGTGTAGTAGGCCCGCATCTCTAGATAAGGTGATTCTGTCAATATCTGTTCTTTGTTCCTCTCCTGGGTTTGTAATCAGCATGCCTTCATCATCCACTGTAGAGAAGCATCATCCTACATAAGAGAAAAAAATGTAGGTACTTCAATTAAAAAGTGATAATAATAGATACATATCAACCATAATACATTCCTATAAACAGACTTTCATTAATCTTATGTTGTGTTCTTCTTCATCTTCATAATTGCTCAAGAAGTGAAAGGACCACTTACAAAAAAAAAAGTAATGAGGGGTCCTGTGTATACCCTACATATATGATCATTATTATTATTATGTAGTGCTTTGAATGTGCATTAGACATCGTTCTTCTGCACACAGGACCTCCTGTAAATAAGGACAAATCCCTTTGTAAACAAAGAAAGGGAAGAACTAGAATAAAATATCCCCTCCACTATAATACACCTGCAACATAAACTTAGTTCCATTTCCTTTTTAGTGAATTAATAGATGGTCGTTTAATATTTGTGTGCTAAATATCCAGAAAATTTTACCTGCATGGGACTTTCAGCTTCATCTTGCAAATATAAGAAATGTTGTAATGTCTACTCATCAGTTAACTCCTTCCAGCTCTTCATCAGTTTCAATCTGTTGGAACAAAAAGAAAAGAAAATCAATTAGACAATCAAGGCGTCCCTTTCTCCTTAACAAAATAAAAATAGATCTAGCATGAAAGCTATTTTTCATGTCATGGTTGGCCTTAATTTTAATATGGTGTGGAAATCAACATTCCAATTTAATGGACCACAGTACAAGTTAAAATTAAATGGAAGATTTAACTTGTGCCTCAAAAGTGCTTTATATGGCCTAGAGGTCTATACATACAATGTATAAAGTAGTCTTAAGTAGAATTGGTTTATTAAGACAAGAAGAAGTGGACTACATAAGTAAACATAATTGTGGACTAGGGGTCTTCTCTTACACAAACAAATAGATTTATCAACATGAACTGCACAATTTGGAGAAGAAAAAAATCTCTAATATATTAAAAGAATTAATAGGGGTCAGGCGCGTACGCAGGGGGGGGGGGTTAATAGATCTATGTGTATGTTTTTCTGGAACCCCCTCCCCCCCCCCCCCCTTTTTGAGTGTTCATTTTTTTTTTTAAATAGTCTACAATTTTTTTAAAAATCCTAGAAAGAAAAAAAAATCTAATGCATGACCTAAAAAAGATGACTCCCCCCCAAAACAAATTCCTCTTACCCCCCCCCCCCTTATTCAGCGGCTGGCTGGGTCGTTGCGAAGTTTTTGGCCCGATTTCAAAATGTTAACCCCCCCCCCCCCTGAAAAAATCCTGCGTACGCCACTGATAGCTAGGGTCTAGATCTAGATCTAGATCGAGTAGGCCTGTCTAGACTCTAGACTAGTATAAATAATGACAACTTGACAAGCATACTGGACCCACCATAATCTAAATATTAAATAAACAAATCCTAGTGTTCATATTTTTTAAATATATTTTATTAGTTTCAGGTTTACATCTTGATGAATAGGATTTGGAGTTGTTTGATTATCAATGGTCACAGATAATTTTGGTCTAAATAAAGTTGACACGCACCGCGTACCGATGATGCAACTGAGCGAACGGATGGCACTGAGCCATCAGAGTCCACATCTACTAAAGATTTTAACAAGAATTAATCCACTTGGATTATCAAAAAAATAATGCTTCGTAGATTATTTTAAGGTGTAACGTTAAATCTAGATTTAAATTAAATCGATGGTTGGTGAATTAGATTCATGATGACGATCAGATCTGAAATAAAACTTGATTAGAAAGTTTGATCTTGATGCAAATGAGCACCGAAATTCCCCGGGGTGGGCCTGCCGGAACGGCCGGGCCCCTAACTGGAGTACTAGGGTGAAATGACAGCAAACCGCAGTCAAACTACTTCATGACGATGAAAATCAAAGTTCAATTTCAAGAGCAATAATTTCCTAGTCTTTTCCCCCAAAATCTGTTGAGAACGGTCTCCAAATGTAACGAAATTACCGTACATCACGAAGATTATTGCAGTTTTTTCAAAATTGATGACTAAATTCACTTAATCTACTCATATTTCAATCAATTACTCACCCATTCTCAATGAACTAACTCTTCTCAGTTTGTGCGAGTGTAGTAGCTTCGTGCATAAATCTGCATAATTAAAGTGACGCAATGAGGTCAAATATATTATCCGGTTTCTTAAACGATACTATCGATAAAATACATATTCATGAGGCACTTATCCAATCAAAAAGCCGCCTCGGGTGCTTATTTTGTCTTCAAATGATCCAAAAGAGGCGGAGCCTAATCACATTCGTCTGCATGGTTTCCGCGCGTGCTGCTTTCCGTCTAGTAATTATATTTAAACGTCTTTGGTCATAACCTATCCAAGCAACCGTGCGTGCACTGGCGCGTACCCATTAGTTGCATTGTCTTAGCACCACGCATGCTCGCAAGCCTTACTGCTTGAGAAAAAAAAAGATCGCAATTACCATTAATTTTTAACATATTTTATATACCTCACTTAAGTAATCCAGCAATCTGATTGGTCGAAATTGCATTCATAAACTTTAACTGTTCCCGAAAATTCCCAGTAACCATGGTTAAAACAGTTCTAAAATCCCAATAACCATGGTTACCGGGAAAATAGTTCAGTCTCCATGGTTACCCCATAGGTTTACATGTTAAAAATGGTCTGAGCGATCGAGGATACCGTACGTGTGCGAAGAATTGGTCGGTAATTTCAATACAATTGAATCTCGATCGATCTTACCGACAATTTTATCTTGCATTGTTGACATGAAGACGAAAATAAACTTCCAAAAACAAAAAAACAACATCTGCCGATAGATCTTGATCTAAGTTCGTGCCAATATGCATTGCAAAAGTAAAAGAAGGGCCCGTTTAATGGAGCAGCGGCGAAGCATCCACCACGCGAAGCCGTTTTCAATCCATTTTGTATATATTAGAGAAAACTGCCTGATATGGTGACAGAGCGCGATGGCCGAGCGGTTTAAGGCGCTGATTTTAGCTACATCACCTTTTGTACGCAAGAGATCGAATCCCATCTTCGACAAAAGTTTTTTGATTTTTGATTTTTTTTTTTTTTTTTTTTTTTTTTTTTTAGTCTATTTTTTTTCGGCATATAAAAGTATTAATGACTGCTTTAATATTCGAGAAATAGTTGTTACGCCTCGGGTAATAGCACAATTCTAACCTTCCCTTGAGCGTATAAAAACAACCATTTCTCTCAAAGCAGTCATTAATACTATAATAATCAAGGCTATCAAATATAACAAATATTAACTGGATGGGGATGTAATATATGTTTTTCAGACAGCGCGGGAGTTATAGTTTCCCTTGTGATCATAACGACTTTGGAAAATATAACCCCCTTCAGCGATTCAAAATTATTATTTTACAAACCCTACCTGTCATTATAATATAACAAGAAACAGATTTCAGGTTCTGTAATATAGGGCAAGCATATTGGTGGAAAGATAAGCGCAAATCACAACATTCTTTAACCTCACCTTCAATGTAGATAGATGCCATCTTTGTATCTTTATATGGTCCATTTCCAAAGCCTCTGCAGAAGTAATATCCAATATCACTTTCGGAAACTGATGGTATACGTAGAATATGCTGATTTCTCATGGTGGGTAGAGGGTGCTTATCTTTGTACCACATGTAAGATTTAGCATTGTTGAAACTGCATGTGAACTCTACGGGGGTGCCCATCTTCACCGTGTGGTTCTCAGGATGACTGGCTACTTCAACAGGATCTGTATTTGAAAAGAATGAGGAGTTAGAGGTGTCATAGTCGAGCAGTCTATAAGCACTTGACTTGAAATTCAAAGGTTGTGGGTTCGATTCTCCACATGGCACTAATGTCTTTTAGAACGTATTAATCTACATTTGCCACTCCATACGAAGAAGATAAATGGGGACCTGGTAGGATAAAGAAGGCCTTTGTGTTAGTAACTGCCCTATGCCCTCACAGTGACCATATAGTAGGGATATTCCCAAGGGAGTGGAGATGGTGTACAATGTATGTGAATAAATACGATGACCGGGGTGATAATATCTGTAAAGTGCTTAGAAACGGTATTTGGTAATTAGGCGCTCAATAAATCCAAATTATTATTATCATCATTATTATTATCTTAGGTCAGTGTATTTTATTACATATTGTGAGATTGTGAGGTTAAGTTTATCATAGCCTATGTAAAATCAAATGCATTCAGCCTATTTCATATCTACTCACTTATATGGGGTGTCTCCTCAGATAAAATAACATTAAAATCATGTTTAAGGCAGTTACCCTAACTATTTAACAAGGTAAATTGATGAACATTCATGACGGGAGGAACCTCAATCAAACCTAGAACGAAACAACCAATATGACTTCCATGGTATTCTTATTTACTAGCACCCACTGTTTAACCTGTCGTCTCCAATAGGTAATCAGCCAATTACTAAATTCAACGTTATTGATTGTATTTCATTCAATTACATTTACATAGACAAAATATTTGTTTAAATAGTAAAGACTCACGAGTGGGGTGAAGGATGACATCACAATGAGTACCCTCGTATTGATCATAGCAGTCGCATTTGTATTGTCCTGATCCAATATAGCTACATTCACCATTGATACACGGATCACGCACCATACAAGGGTCTGTAGGTTTTTTATTCAAAGAAATGGCGACAGATAGAGAAAAAAATTAACGTAGGTATATGAAGCAGAAATGGGGATGAGCTACACCCCCGCCCCCTCCCCCGAGAATCAAGAAACAACAAAAATTCGGTCAACCATCGGTTTTCCATCAGGTAGCGGTAAGCGATGAAGAAAGCACATAGGCTGCAGACGGTTAAAAATCCATGACAAGCCACTAATGACCTTAAGAAAGAAGATACAGGTATTTGTAGCCAATAATGTCTTCTGAAACTTACTCTTTCTTTCGCCATGGAGATATATTGGTTAGGTAAGAACTAACATTTTACAAATGTCAACTTGGTTTATTATCATGATGATAGTGCCTATTAACAGGATTTTTTGTTGCTTACATCGCGCTGATCTACTAAATGTACGTATCATGAGGTAATAGTAATAATAATATTGATACAATTATTAATGATAGGATTAGTGTATATCCATGTATAGATGCATGTACAAAGCCTGATCGCAATGGTCCATACCTTGTACAGTAAACATAAACGTACAGACGGCAATGTTTCCAGAAGAATCTTTAGCTTCACATGTGATGCTAGTGTCTCCAAGATAAGAGAGATCTATGGATGTGTGAGAGCAGCTAACGAACGGATCGGGATCTAAGTTGTCTGACACAGATGGGATGAAAGCCATGATAGCAAGACGTTGATCTGCAACGGATGTTTGGTCACGGCATTCATAACTAGGAGGCTCGTTGTCTGCGAAAACAAGACAAAACTAGTTTAAGAGTTATAGTGTATATATATCATCTTAATCCGAAATTAATGTTTTAAGGTCAACTTCCTTATTTTGCTTAATACTTATTCACACTATGAATATGACTGACAAAGAAAGCGGAACATCTCTTCACTGCTATTATGTAAAAATGTGTAGAACAGGCGTCACATGCATATTCACCTTTTTACATAATAGCAGTGAAGGGATGTTCCTTTGTCTACCTGAGGAACTGTATATTTTGTCCACTTTCTTTGTCAGTCATATTCATAGTGTCAGTATCTTAACGAGCATTGAAAGTTGTATCATACCTTCTACTGTAACCACGAACAGACAAATGCCAGTGTTTCCTGATTCATCCGTAGCATTACAGGTAACATTGGTATCTCCAAACTGGAAGTCATCACTGGAGGTATGAGAGCAGATCACAGACGGACGAAGATCAGTATTGTCTGATGCCCGTGGGTTGAGGGTGATGTGGGAGGATGTAGAAAGACCTTGGTCCGTGGTGGAAGTTACGTCAGGGCAGTCCAAACGGGGAGGATCGCCATCTTGAAATACAAATTTTGGGACAACCAATAATAAAGTGAGTGGTGGCCTAATTCATGGGGCACAACTGTATAAATGTAATGGATAAAAGGTAACCAAAATAAAAGAAAACGGTCAAGGTCAATGTTTTTTGGGGGGATAAGTTTAACGACCCCTGCCACTTATCGTCTAATTTTGGGCGTGTTCTCTCGTATCACTTGATTGCAACCTCCCCTACCCATGACGCCGGTGACTCCTCTCAATGGCTGAACCATCCAACACCACTAAAATGGAGAACATTTTGGGGGATTCTTTTTTTCGGGGGGAGGTTGGGCAATATAGTGTAACTTACTGGATCTTAAAATATCTTTACTAATTACAGACCCTAATACTGCAAACAAAAAAACAATGATAGAATTGATTAACGATAAGTTATATAAAGGTAGAGGAATTCAACGTATTTTGCAAATAAAACTTATAAAATAAACTGAACTGTATACTTTGCAGTACTGGCCATTATGATTCAGGAATTCTCGTGTACATGAAAAAGATTGCGGAGAATGTATACTAAATTTTTCTATTCATACCAAAATATATTAACTGTACTGTGAACTTTATAGGGATAGTTGAGTTCTGTTTTCAGACCACAAATGTCTTCAATGTGCATGGTTATTGCTCTTATTCTATCTATGACATTTCTAGTGCCCATTTAGGACCTAAAATTGCTTTGAAGGTAATTTAGACCCCAATATGTGTGAAATTTAGCAAATAGTTAATTAATTAATTAATTAGACATAACAACACATGGGCCGGCTGGTTGTGCGTAATATAACCGACACGAAAAAGCTAAAAAAAAAAAAAAATTAAAAAAGCCAACATCGGCACTGGCTGAAATACGACGTAAAAGGCGCTATTTCGTTTTTTTCAACGGCTTTTTCAAATTATCGAATATTTGTGGGGGTACACAAGTATTAGAAATCGTTTTATTTATGGATATTTCAGCCATCTCTGAACTGATTTCGATCAAACAAAGATGATTTTATCATTTAAATTGTATTTTCTTTCAAATTTTGACACTCAGTTTTTCATTATCTCACAAAAAAAATATTTTGTGTAGCGCCCTCTGCAACAGAAGTCAACTATCCTTTTAAGAATTAAAGGTAATTGTTGAAAAACACAGTAACTGATAATTGTGATCAAACTATACCAGGCACAAGAGTTATTTCAAGAGCATTGCTACATGTATTTTTTTGACATCAATATGTTCTTCACAGCACTTTCGACTATGATTCAGGATCGAGTTCTCATGTACATGAAACAGAGTGCGGGCCTTCAGAAAGTATACCAGATTTTTCTATTTATACCAAAGTATAACCGTAATCAATTCCTGAAATACTCTATAATAACAAGAGTGTCTACTGAATCGCAGATACAGTTTACTTCTTCTTCCAGTGTCAGTGCTGCTTCAAGGTGATGAAGATAAACGCACTGATTGTGTGTGTGTGTGTGTATATGTAGAGACTTTAACATATCCTGTTATTTCATATTTTATACTCCTGTTGTTGCAATTCTTCCTTTTTGTTACATACCTGTGACAGTGACCGTGAAATCGCATGTCACGTAGTTTCCGAGATCATCTCGTGCAGCACAGACAACCCAAGTGTCTCCATAGTAAAATACATCATGTGAAGTATACGTACAGCCCACAGAGAAGTTCTGATAGCCAATTAAACCATCCACGCGTGGGACTATGATGACAGTAGATGATGTAGTAAGACCTTTATCAGTGCTTGATACGAGGTCTGGACATTGTAGCCCGAACATTGTTCCTTCATTTTCAAAATCAATATAAATATTAAGATTTCAATTACAGTATACTGATTAGTTATATCTTCCGATAACAGATAGTATGAGCCTAATTCATAATATACACACACTAGGATTCAAAAAAGAAAATTATTATTCGTTAAGAAAGCAGTACCCTATGCGTGCCTGGATGTATAATTTGGCAAATGTGCCTTCCTCCCCCTACCCCCCGCCCCCTCCCCGTTCTTTCTGGAATCTTTGATATGTATATATATCATACGTTTATGGCTCAACGAGAAGAGTATCCTGGCAGATTTCTGCTTATCACTGTTGATTGTCATGAAATCAAAGCTCTTTTATCATCAATTTGCTAAAAGGTGACATGTAGAGCGGGCATCTATCAGCTATTCCAGTCTCTTTTTCTCTCTTTACTTACCATTCCACAATGATACCAAGATCATGGAACCATCTGTTCAAATTACAATGAAAAGGAAGTGTTAAACTTTTATGTAACAAAAACCAAATAAGTGTACTGAGCAAAAAACAAGTATGTCTTACGTTGTGTTAAATTATCAAATATCTATCAAATGTATTTATTTACTCACATGGTATTTTTTTTTCCAAACTATAAAAGCAGGACACATTTGCATATTAATGGATTTAAGGACTATTCTATTCCTTTCACTATACCTGGGATAAGAACCAAGCAGACAGCACCGGCATCTTCGTCATGATTACAGTCAAAAGGTTCAGGTCTATCATGAAAACATGTTCCCAGGTTGCTTTCTGTCCCAATACAATCCACATTACGGAGTGGGATGTTTCCTAGCCCTTCACCGTATGTAGCTTGCACAGGTGCATATGCTGCACCGAAGAACCCCAGCATTCTGCATACAACATTAGCGTCTTTACCATCCCAGCCGTCATCACAGATAGTTCCCCAAGATCCCCTTTCTAGCACTTCAACTCTTCCCGAGTTGTTATTTGGACCATCGACGAGACGGACTTGAAGAGAGATAGGATCTGAAATACAATGATATATTATGAATTCAGGTTTTGAGTATGGAAGAGAACAAGAATATCAAACAAAGAAGCAGTTATAAATATAAGAAGACAATTTAGATAGAGTAAGAGAGAATAGAGAGAATAGAAAAGGAAAAAGTGAGATGAGGAGTGAAGAGAGGGATATGGAGAAGACATATAATGGAGAAAAAACGAGACTTGTATATTAAGGCTTTTCAAATTTCACAAACAGGGTTACATCATACCTGAACAGATGACACCAGCATCTTCCTCGTGTCCACAATTATTGACTCCAAATTCACTCTTGATGCAGTCTTCGAGGCTAATTTCTAATCCAGTACATTCAACTTCATCAAGAAGAATGTATCCAGAACCCGGACCATATTCAGCCGCGCCTGGTGCACTTGTTGCTTTGAGGAACCCTAGCATTCTGCACACGACATTGGCGTCTCTCAAATCCCATCCATCATCACATACTGTTCCCCAAGCAGTGCTGGTGTTGTACCGTACCTCGACTCTACCTGTAGCATTGTTTGGTCCATCAACCAAACGAACTTCAAGATGGCTCCCTACATCAGGAGTAAGGGAGGACATTTTAATACAGGTTCGTTGATTTTTTTTTGTATGCTCAAGTCAAGTGTTTATTTGACTATGGTTGCCAAGCCCCCTCACATCTTGATGGGTTATTTCCCGATATGTGGATTTTTTATAAAAATATCATTATTAGGCCTAAAAAAAACTAGATGGAATTTTGACTGCGCGCAGTCGAAAATGATGCCTCCGCCATAGAGCAATTTAAACAAGTTTGGAGTTTAAATCTCCAGTGGTTCTTGAGATATCATGATAACAATCTCAATGTATGGAATTTCATAAGTTGACCTCTGTGACCCTTGACCTTTGACCTACGTGCTCCAAAATCTAATCAGATTGTCTTCCTATGGTGATACACACTATCATTAAGTTTGAAGTTTAAATCTCCAGTGGTTCTTGAGATATTATGATATGGTGATACATACTATCATTAAGTTTGAAGTGAAAATTCTCCAGTGGTTCTTGAGATATCGCGATAACGATCTCAATGTATGGAATTTCATAAGTTGACCTCTGTGACCCTTGACCTTTGACCTACGTGCTCCAAAATTTAATCAGATCGTCTTCCTATGGTGATACATACTATCCTTAAGTTTGAAGTTTTTACATCTCCAGTGGTTCTTGAGATATCATGATAACAATATCAATGTATGAAATTTCATAAGTTGCCTCTATGACCCTTGACCTTTGACCTACGTGCTCCAAAATGTAATCAGATTGTTTTCCTATAGTGATACACACTATCACTAAGTTTGAAGTTTAAATCTCCAGTGGTTCTTGAGATATCATGATAACAATCTCAATGTATGGAATTTCATAAGTTGACCTCTGTGACCCTTGACCTTTGACATAATCTAATCAGATCGTCTTCCTATGGTGATACATACTATCCTTAAGTTTGAAGTTTAAATCTCAAATGGTTCTTGAGATATCGCGCTAACAAACTCAATACAAGGAATTTCATAAGTTGACCTCTGTGACCTGTGACCTTTGACCTACGTACTCCAAAATCTAATCAGATCGTCTTCCTATGGTGATAAATACTATTCCCGAGTCTTAAGTTTAAATCTTAAATGGTTCTTGAGATATTGTGATAACGGTCAAACGGGACGGACCTACGGACGGACCTACGGACGTACGGACGGACAACCCGAAAACATGATGCCTCCGGCACCACCTTCGGTGGCGGAGGCATAAAAACATGTTGTATTGCCCTTTAGGTGCCAAAACATGGGTCGGTCAGTCGGAATTTTTTTTTTACTCCCTCTTTAGGCTGATATTTCTCAGTTTTGAATGCTTTAATACAATTTTTTTCTAAAATTTTTTAAAAGCCGACCGTAGATTTCAAGATTTTGGGGTCGGTCGCAAAGGGCAATACAACATATTTTTTGTTTAGGTCTTATGGTAATGCAAACAAAATCTGATATCATTAGTCTGACAATATGAGGAAGAATTGGTAAGGCCAAAAAAATATAAATCATTTGGTGTTCTCGACCGCCCGCTCGTCATTTTTGGGCCGCTCGTATTTTTATTTTTTTTTTTTTTTTTTTTTTGATTTGTTTTGGGGGTAGCAATTTTAAATGCCAAACATACTATTTTATGCATTTGCAAGGATCAAAATGCGTCCCGTTGCCAGTTTGGTCTTTTAAGTACGCAATTCTGGATTTATTAAATTGGCCATTTTTATTTTTCTATGTCATAATGCCGTTCATTCAAATCAGGTTCTGAGCATTCTTAAACTCATTTTAAAGCCCATCTGTACTAGTTTACAGGAGGGATTAGACCACCCTGCAAGGTCACTGGACAGGTGGTTATCTCATCAAATCAGCTCTCAGATAACATAAGATAAAGAGGATCATGGGGACCAATGGTCACCGATTAGGCATTGTTTACTATATAGAGGGCCTAAGTAGCTATAAGTAGTACAATGGAGATTTAAAAGGTGCTGTATTTCAAAGTCAAAAATACCTACTGTGTTGGTCTTGATATTCATTGTACATTAAACTAGTCTTTTACCATATTAAAGTGTTTTATAGATTTTGTTTGTTTAAATGCTTGACATCCCATTTTTTTTTTTTTTTGTTCATGGAAAAAATGTATTTAAACTAAATATAAACAAATGGGGAAGAAAAAAAATCAAAAAAAAGACACACAAAAATTGAAGTTTAAAAAAAAAAACGCCCGCCCGCCTCTACTCCAGAAAACCAATCGAGGACAACCCAATGATTTTTTTTTGTTTGGCCTAACGTAGATAAAAAGATAAATATGGCGATTCATAATGATGTAAAAGAGAAGGTCTGTGAAATAAATATTGACATTTATACAAAATGAGTAGAATTATAGTTTACTATAATATTTTGATCAAAGAGGAAAAGTTCTCACCAATGTTTGTTGTACTCGGGATCCAAATGTCAGGTCGGATATTTGGCGAATCTATAGTCAAAACATTAAAATATTCAATAGTCGTCGTCGTAAGTCTGGCTAAGTGCATCAATTCATGTTGGGGCATGAGTTCTAAATTAAAAGCGATAATAAACCTGGTTTGATTTTATAAATTGATAAGATTCAACAGGGGGCGTATTTCATTATAAACTCCTTGGTTTAAACCGTGGGTTAAGTTAAAACCTCCTTTGTGAATGCGGGCCCTTGGGTCATACGGCACATTCACTTGGTATAACATTGATATCACTAGCGTACTGATAGCGGGGGGGGGGGGAATGGGGGGGGCGGTTGACCCCCAAATAAAATTCAAACATGGTTTATTTCTAATTCGATACCAGTGATAAATGCCCCCATTAAAATCTGATAGGTGCCCTTTTCCTTTAACAGATTCCCCATATCTGTTCTCATAAGTGCTTTTCATTTCTGTTGAGTGTTGTTTTTCATGTGAAAGAAGTGCCATTTTTCACTGATAATTTCCCTTTTTACATTGACACAAGCACCTTTTCTTTTCTAATAACTGTCCTTTTTCCTTTTGATAAGTGCCCACGTTTCCTTTCTCTATAACATGTACCCCTCATTCAAGGCGACTAACAGCCCCTTTTTCTATAAGTTTCCTGAGAATTCGCTCGCATCTATAGATTTTATAATATGTTGTTATTAAAAGAACTATTCAATCTGTCTTTATTAGATTGTGCTTAATAGTCATCGGGGCTTGTTTTTTGTCTTCTTTATAAGATGTAATTTTTCGCAGTGGGACCTCACAAATCTTTATTTTTTTGCTCCATCGCTTATTCGCTCGCTCGAAAAATAACATTCAGACCATCACACCTAACTGCAAAGTATGCTGCTTATCTTGTACCACGTAAAGAAGGAAACAAATATTGATGTCATCCCTGGTATTGTAATCACAATCATGATGATGTAGGGGTATATACCAATGTTTTCCCCTTTGTAGGTGCCCCTTTCTTCCCGAAAGTGCCCTTTTTCATTGGTCCCCCCCCCCCCCACCTATTTTGGAAGACGCACCGCCGCCCCTGCATTGTGCTACTTGGTGGTGATGCAGATTTTGTTCTGGCCCCTAATTTTTTTTAGCTCATTACGCCACTGATTGACATGTTGACACAATTGACATTCCTGACATAGCCTATGTACAGTGTACCTCTTTCCAGCCGCTGCCCCATCTACATGTAGGAACCCACACACATATAGCTGCATCAATTATACTACCCTGGCTGTGTATCCAAAACTGTTTAGACGATTCTCAACATTTCAAACACCACTGTACACAACTCAACTGAGTTCACTCAATATCAGTACTTAAAGGGATAGTTGAGTGTTGGTCAATACTCACATTAGCGAACGAAACTATGATCTAAACATGAAAAACATATAATAAATGTCTAAGAATGCATCATTGAAGATATAAATCCGAAATATTCCATTAGAGTGAATTTATATGCAAAAAAACCTGTTCGACTGCAAATGATTTTATTTATCAAAAATTTTACTTTCGAGGCGTGTTCAGTGTAATTATATAGCGCCACCTCTCGGTCAAGCGGCAGCACACCGTGATTTTTCGGCAAGGCGACGTACCTTTCTTAGCGCGATCGGATATATGGGCGTGCAAGTAATATCCGAACCATGTCTATGGCGCTCTGCCTGATTTATATTGTACACATTATGGTGATGCGAGGCCTGCACATATTTGCATGGTCTGTGCAGGGATATGTGAGTTGGTCTGTGGTAGTTTTTGAGCGGCGCCTGCATGCGCGCGCGATTTGTATGTGTATGTATTGTACGTCGTATGACCCAGTTGATTACTTCTACAGTGTATAGTTTTTTCATAAAGAAAGTGGCTAACTCTATCAACCAATATGTGAGACAACGCAAGGGCAATTTTGTATTTCGTTTGTAGGAACAAAGCTGTGAAATGATCTCCCAGATGAAATTAGATTAAAAACATCTAGGTTATCTGCAGTCCACCTACCTTCTATGTAAATGACGTGGGCCTTCGTTTTTCCTTTTACATTACTTGTCTTCCTTTTATATGTGAAGATTTTCATTCCAAAAGGAGCTAAATCCACTTTGGGTACTTTGAGTTCTGAGTAAATTGCCTTTTTTATTTCTCCACTTTCCCTTTAGCCATGTATACCTTCATGTTGTTATATATGTTAAAGGTGTCACCCTGGACCAATAATATATGATAAGAAAAAATCTTCCCTTCGACTTTTTTTATGTTTACTAAATTTTTAGATATTTTATTTTCGTGGATTTAGCTCCTTTTGAAATGAAACATGTTATTGTACCTAAAAAATAAAATCATATTTTCTCAATAAAGTCACTGAAATTTTATTCAAATTTAGCAGCAATAAACCTTTCCTTTTAAATAATAATAGTGAAATCACACATAAAAAAACCTTTCGAAAAGAAAGTAAACAGCATATCACAGTTTCATTCCAAAGGAAGCTAAATCCATTCAATTCCAAAAGCGGCTAAATCCATGTTTCATTCCAAAAAGGAATTGCTAAATCTACAAAATCTAAAAATTTGATAAAAATCAAAATAACTGGTAGATTTTTTTTCTTATCATATGTAACGAGCCAAGCAATAAGGACGCAGGATTCAATTTGGTTCCATTTGGTTCCATCTTTATTGGTTCAGACTTAACTCTTTTCTGTCTCTCTCAATATAAATCAACTGAATCGTCTAGCTCCTGCAAGGGACACACCTTAAAAATCCAACATGGAGTCTTCTCCCTATATCAGTACCTCCTTTCTCAGAGCCCTAAAACATGTGTCCCTCTCCCAAGGGTGTCGATTTGTATCCGTGGTTGGGGGGATGATAGGTGCCAAAATATTTTCGACAATGGATCAAAGCAACCAAGAGATAGAAGCGTGTGGCAGGTTGCACCCCATCCCCAAGCGCGTAGCCAGGATTTCATTTTAGGGGGGTAGTAAGCACGCGAAGCGCGCTCCCTAGGGGGTTGGGTGCAGGGAGGGAGGAGTTTTATCCCTTCCCACGCGAAGCGCGGAAGCTTTGACGTTTCATTAAATTATTAGAGAAAGAAGACGATTCGTTGGACCGTTCTCGACTCTTAATCCTTGTTTGAATCCCGTTCCTCCGGGCGTAGCGCGGAAAAGCTCTGACGTTTTATTAGATTATTAAAGAAAGACGATTCGATGTACCATTCTCGACTCTTAATCCTTAATGTTTGAATCAGGTTCCCCTCCCTCCGCGCGTAGCGCGGAAGCTCTGACGTTTTATTAGATTATTCAAGAAAGAAGACGATTCGATGTACCATTCTCGACTCTTAATCCTTAATGTTTGAATCAGGTTCCCCTCCCTCCGCGCGTAGCGCGGAAGCTCTGACGTTTTATTAGATTATTCAAGAAAGAAGACGATTCGATGTACCATTCTCGACTCTTAATCCTTAATGTTTGAATCAGGTTCCCCTCCCTCCGCGCGTAGCGCGGAAGCTTCGGCGTTTCATTAGATTATTAAAGAAAGAAGACGACACGATGTACCATTCTCGACTCTCAATCCTTGTCTGAATTTGAATCAAGTTCCCCTTCCTCCGGGCGTAGCGCGGAAAAGCTCTGACGTTTCATTAGATCATTAAAGAATTTAAGAAGACGATTCGATGTACCTTTCTCGACTCTTAATTCTTGACTGAATTCAGTTCCCCCCCCCCCCCCCCTCCTCCCTCGCGAAGCGGGGAAGCTTTGACATTTCATTTGATTTTTACTCTTAATCCACGTCTGAAATCATTTTCGCCCATCCCGCGCGTATCGCGGAATCTTTCACGTTTCATTAAATTATTAGAAAAAGAAGACGATTCGTTGTATCGTGTAATTTTACTTTTCATTTAATTATAACTCTTAATCCTAGTCTGCATTCAGTTGCCCCCCTCCCGCGCAAAGCGCGGAAGCTTTGCCGTTTTACTTAATTATTAGAGAAAGAAAACGATTCGTTGTACTGTTCTCTATATTAATCCTTGTCAGAATTCAGTTTCCCCACATGATGTACGTATGGAACCTTCGTTCTCAAATCTTCGCATGCACAGCCCGAGTGGTGGGTAGCATGTTATCTCCCGGCAATGCTTGTCGCAATACCTTCTGGAAAGGAATTGTATACTACTGTTAGTGTTAACGGCCACTAATTAGGCCCATTAGTGACTATACAAAACATATGTATTATGAAAATGAGATAGCAAAATGTGTATATTGATGGTCATCTTGCGAGTAATAACCATTAACTGTTCTCATCGGGCTCTCATTAATTTTTCTCTTCATTTTTTTTAATTTTTATGGTGAATTATTGGGGGGGATGATTGTACAGGCCATCTCCCCCACCTGAAATATTGGGGGGGATATATCCCCCCATCCCCCCCGGGATCGACACCCATGCCCTCTCCTAACATACCAACATCCCTTCTCTGCATACACTGTACATGTACATTTATTCATATATTCATGCCTGATTGCCCATGCATGCTCATGGAAGTGTTTACTATTGTTTAGGTCATGGCTTCCACAAGGTGCAGTGGATATGTGCATATTTGCATACACACACTCAAGAAAGCAGTGGAAACATGTATGTGCATATTTGCATATGTGTACAACACCTGTATTCATATCACTACAACTCTCCCCTACTTGACTATCTCCTCCTGGAGATCAAACCAACCAACACAAAAACTGTCATTTAAGATAATATTCTCACTACTTGCATAGCTTGTGAGGTCATCATGAAATATTCTATATTTCATTCAAGTATAATATTGTAATACAAGTCTTAAACAAATAACTACCATCCTCTGGTGAGAAAATAGAAAGGCTTGAATCTACCTAAATTTCTTTCTTTTTGTAAACTTTTCCTTTAACAACTAATATACAAAACTTCAACTTGTACTGTAAACTGTACATGTAGCTCTAGTTCCTGTACCTGTATACTGGTCAGTGATATTAGCGATCAAGTAAAATAGTCGCTATATAATGGCCTGACAGATCTCACTGATTACAAATCAGCAGTACAACTAAATCAATATATTCTGTATAAAACTTCAAA